TTCGTAATAAAAGGGAGGGGGTTTGGACCCTCCAAGACAAGCCATTTCAGACCTCCCCCGTGGGAGAACCCTCCAAAACATCGTCCCCAGACCCCCCCAGGCCCTCCAAGATAGCCTGGAAGAGACCCCCCCCCCCGAAATGAGACCCCCCTCCCTTTATTACGAAATCTGGGGTACTCTGCCCAACAGCAGTCCTTGTTCATTCTGAGCAGGACTCGCTGTCCACGCCGCCGCGGCCCGTGTCCATCCGAGACAGAGGGCCGCCTGTCCAACAGCGGCCGCTCTTGGCTTGTGGGGCAACCTTTGTTGTTGGGCATTGTGCCCATTCTTCCCGTACCCTTTTCGGGCGTCCAAGTCGATGGCCGAACGCGCCAGAGCCATGGAGAGGCGCCGGGGCGACTGGAACATCCTGAGAGGCGCCGGCGCAGGGGTCGTCGCCGCCGTCGTCGTCGTCGTCGCCGCCGTCGTCGTCGTCGTCGTCGCCGCCGTCGTCGTCGTCGTCGTCGTCGTCGTCGTCGTCGTCGTCGTCGTCGTCGTCGTCGTCGTCGTCGTTGGCGTCGGCGTCGTCGTCGTCGTCGGCGTCGGCGTCGGCGTCGGCGTCGGCGTCGGCGTCGGCGTCGGCGTCGGCGTCGGCGTCGGCGTCGGCGTCGGCGTCGGCGGCGTCGGCGTCGTCGTCGCCGTCAGCGCGGGCGGGGGGGGGGGAGGACTGCGGTCGGCGGCTGCAGCAGGGGCGGACAGCGCGGTGCTTGGCATCGCTTGGATGTGTGCATGTCTTCTTGTCGAGGACCATCGAGGAGCATCCTGGATCCAGGGCTCGACCTGAACGCTGCTTTGATGGACTTCGGCCGTGCTTGGTTTCTCGTTTCGGGAGGGAGGTGCAGGAACAACAGGGAGAGCAACACGAAAGCATGACGAAAGCAAAACGAAGCACAACGTTTAGGTTCAGCCCTGCCTGGATCATCTCGCAAACAATACGTGCGCGAAGCCGAGATATGCACAGGGAATGGACCTCCGAGCGATGGCGAGGGGGGCGGGGATGGCGCTGCAGGTGTCCATTCCAGGGGCTCCAATCGCCCGCGACTGCTGCGTGCGGTTACTGCGTGCGGTGCCCGTCCCTGGGCTGTTCGCGTCTTTCGCCCCCGCCGGTGTGAGCGGGGCCAGGTTCGGGAAGGAGAGAGGGCGGACCGGGGAGGCTGAGGCGGAGGAGGAGGTGGAGGAGGAGGAGGAGGAGGAGGAGGAGGAGGAGGAGGAGGGGGAAGCAGTGGCCCCGCTGAGGCCATTGCCCTGATAGCAATTCTGCTAGTGCTGCTCTCTTCTCTTCCTCTGACAGTCGCACACCTATCGATGTCTGGGGATGTGACAGTACTGGGCTGGGGTCTTGTGCGATGCTGATCACACTCGTGACGATGGACAGAACTGCTTGTCTGGGCAGCCGGTGCAGCAGCTGTCCTGCGACTCTCAGCCGCTCGCCAGAACGTCCTGCAGCTGCTAGCTGCAGCAAAGGCTCGAGCCAGAACTGTTTCGGGAGGAGGCGTCCTGGATGCATATGTAACACATGTAAGGTGTTTCTCGTGCCTGGGGGCTCTACGAGGGCTCTCGGGGAGGCCATTAAGCATGCTTGGGCTGCAAATCGAGTGGGGAACTCGACAGGTTGTGAAACGCGGATAGAAAACAGGAAGGGGGGCCCCTCCTGGCTCGAAGCAGATTTCACGCTTGGCCTCTGGAGGGGCCATCTGTTGTACGTAGGCTCTAGGTCGGCAGGCTTTGGGCGGTGAGTTGCAGGGGGAGGGGGGTGGGAGGGGAGGGCTATGGCTCAGGCGATCGCATACATGGATCAAGGGGGCGTGGATTAGCGACGGGTCCCGTTTCCATGGGGAAGCGCGGATTTCCGGCGCCAAGCGAGGCGGCACCGGCCGCATGATATTCTATGTTTGCGCGCCCCCGATATGGCGAAGACCACGCTAGTTCCAGTCGAACATGGTATTGATGCGTGGATCCAAACCAGGACTGTTCACTGGCTCGGGCGCTGTTCGGTAAACGGCCAGGGGCCGAGGGGTAAAACAAAGTGGAGGCTTGGTGTGAAGAGCCACGGGAAATTCCGCACGCGTCAGCGGGACCACAAGTAGCTGAGGCCGAACCAATGGAAATCCCGCCAGCTCTTGGCAGTCCTTGCAGCCCAGGGCAGGCACCCGAAGTGTAGAAGCACTGCCCGTGGAATGGCACGTTGCTGTATCCAATCTCAAACCCACTTTCATGAGCAGACCTGGTTACATTATGGCCTTGTCCCAAGAATGGGCTCGTCTGCAAGCTTCCAGCATTCTCCAACGTTCTCCGAGGGTCGCTTATCTGGCCTTTGTGAGCGCCAGGTTGGCATATCGTTGGACTCCTGTCTCAGTGTTCCGACTGATGGGATGTTCGGCGTGGCGCGGGCACACCCAGCTTTCTTCTCGCCCTCTCCTCCTTCACTCCCCCCTGCTCCTCTCCCCTCCGCCCTCCCCCCCCTCCGTCCTCGCCTTCCCCGTACCCCCCCCATCCTCCCCCGTGCCCCTCCCGAGCGCGCGGAGGGGGGCGCGGGAGATGAAGGATAGGGCCAGTCTTGGTGCTGCGGGGGTCTGCTCGGAGGAGTGCCGAACGGGGCCAGGACGAGGATAGAGATCCGTTCCAGAGTGCTCTGGAACGCCCGCGGTGCCCGAGGCATCCTCCAGAGCCGCCAGATCTCAGAGACTTTCGCTTTATCCTCGCCCGATTTTGTCCTCGTCCTGGCCTCCCGAGACATCCTCCAGAGCCGCGGGATCTCAGAGATTCTCGATGGCTCCTCACCCATTTTGTTTTTGTCCTCGTCCTGGCCTCCCGAGACATCCTCCAGAGCCGCCGGACCTCAGAGATTCTCGACTGCTTCTCGCCCATTTTGTTTTTGTCCTCGTCCTGGCTCCGTCTTGGCTCCGCATCTTGACCTGACCGCTGTTCTGCTGGGCTGCGGCCGTGTTTTCTTTTTCGTGCTGGCAGGGAGGCGCAGGACAGAACAGGCAGAGCGAAACGAGCAGCAACACGAAAGCGACACGAAGCACAACGTTTGGGTCCAGCCCTGCCTGCCTGGGAGTGGTTGTTGATGATGATGATGATGATGATGATGATGATGATGATGATGATGATGATGATGATGATGATGCTGATGATGATGATGATGATGATGCTGATGCTGATGCTGATGCTGATGCTGATGCTGATGCTGATGCTGATGATGATGCTGATGCTGAATGATGATGATGGTGCGATGGATGATGGGCTGATGCTGATGTGCTATGCTGATGTGATTGATGCTGATGATGATGATGATGATGATGATGACGATGAGATGATGATGATTGATGCTGATGATGATGATGATGATGATGATGATGATGATGCTGATGATGATGATGATGATGATGCTGATGATGTTGATGTTGTTTGTTTGTTGTTGTTGGTGTTGTTGTGTGTGTTGTTGAATATTATTAATTCTAAAGAATTAATTATTGTGGGCACCCTGTGGCACGCCCCCCCGCGCCGCTAGGCCCGCAGCACATTTTCATTCATTTCGTGAGGAAGCCTCAGGTGAAACGATGTGATCCAGATCCGGTTGTTTGTGGTAATCCGTTTTTTTTTTCCCTTGCAAAAAACAAGCTAAAGTGGACATTTCTTGTTCTAACATAACCAAACTTCAAGAATCCCTTGCAACAAATAAAGTAAAGTGGACATTCGCGCGCGCAAGACGAAATCCTTCCAAAACCTTAGTGTTCGCAGCGATTTTAACATAAAAACATCAAAAAACCAATGGTTTTTCAACACAAAAATGTCAAAATCTCATCCCGCGCGCTCTTGCGGATTCGTAGGAAACCCAACATTTTTTTAAACATTTCTGTCAAACGGGCTTTTGCGAGCAACTTTTTCGAACTTCTGCGACAACGGTTGCGCACCTGCCAGGGCCATCATCCCTGTCAAATAATACCATGCGGGACACATTCGTTTTTTCTTCGCGCGCGCACGCCGAAAACTCCAAAAACCATTGGGCTTCTTAAGAATTTTAGCACCGCGCATCATAAAATCACACGAATCGCACCGTAGGTCCTCGAAAAACACCTGCACGACTTTTCAAAATTTCTACCCGCGCGCGCTGTCCTAACAACTTCTGTGGGTGTGTACTCCACGCCAGTGTAGTATCCACGGTCGTCCGCAGGCCACGAAGTGAAGTGTCCGAACGTCATAGGGCGGGAAGCTGGGTGTGGGTGGTGGCAAAGAGTCGTGTGGATATTTGGTAGAGCTTGCACTGCCCCCCCACAAAGTGGGGGTATTGGCTGGCGTCGCATGAAAACTTTGGCACTGGTGAGAACACTGAGCGTTCGGGTAAAGTGATTGTTGTTGTTGTTGTTGTTGTTGTTGTTGTTGTTGTTGTTGTTGTTGTTTTGCCTGCCTGTCTGGGAGTGGTGGGGGCGCGGAGGCCCCGCCCGGATCGCCCAGGCACCAGCGACGAGTGCCTGCAGCCCGCCCTGGAGGAGCGCCGCCGGCGGCCGCATCGGGCCGCCCAGCCCGGGCCAGCTCTCGAGTCGGAGGCGACGAGGGGGGCGAGCGGCCCCAGGGTTACGTCGGGCACGTCCCTCTTCAGTCGGGGGTGGACAGAACCCCCAACAGTGACTCGTCGATTCGTGAATCGCTCGTTTTCGGTTCTCGAGAGGGCGCCGCGGCCGTTATTCTCCAGGCTTGCGCCCGCCAGGTTTGGGCCCGAGGTCGTTCTCACTAAACCACGTTTTGCTAAAGGGGGGTCTGTCCATCCCCGAATCGGGCCGCCCAGCTCGGGCCAGCTCTTGAGTCGGAGGCGACGAGTGGGGCGAAGAGCCCCAGGGTGAAGTCGGGCACGTCCCTCCACAGGAGGAATATTTCCAGTTTGAAACATCTCCCTATCCCTATGTTTGACATCACCTCACCTCGATGCCGATCTTAAGGATTCCCTCATTTTTTGAGGG